GATAGAAGCGCAAGGGAGGAAGCGGACACGAGCCCTAACCCAATAGAACTATCGTACGAAAGTACGATAGTTGAGGACATTAAAGAATTGGTGTTTAGGGCTCGGACTATGAATGGGGCGCTTGTTGAAGCTCGCAGGCCACAGCAAAGTATGGAAGCTGTTGAGCCTCAACTAAATATGCTTGGTTTTTTGGTTGCATGTTGTCTTTGTTGCATGTTGTACATTATTTTTTTATTGCATCAAAAATAAAATTTCTTTAATATTAATATGCATAATAATAAGCGTGTAAATTTTGCAAATGCTTATATTCAAACGATTACTAGTCAACAGCTCCCGAGCACTTAAACGCATTAATCCAGACGCGCATAAACGTGTGGTTTCTGCAAACGCTTATTAGGCGATTCATCAAGCGTTCAATTACTTTAATAATATTTCTGACTGATATTGTATATGATTCCTGTAAAAGTAGTCTCACAGTTTAAGCATTCAAGTGTTAATTGGTTTCTTATGAACGAAAGCACAAATGGCCGTGTAAACAGTCTACATATCTCGTCCATTGTATTTTCGTTGATTAAATACAACACGTGACAAAACTAACTAGTCAAAGAAGCCTTTAAACATACAAATACCAAAAGTCACTCTCAAAGTACATTCTGTTGTGATTAATGTCTTTTAAGTCAACAGTCATATGTTACCACATATATAATCGTCAATTACAGTACTTTTTATGAATTTGTAAAGATTTACACTAAGGAGCTCAAAGGCAATACAGAGATGGTTTCCGGTCAGCCATGTGATATGTGAATTATGTTATGGTTATCGTCTGGATCCTGGACATACAGAATTCATGGTATATAGAATGAATGTTAGCAGCTGTAACCTTTGCATTAGTCACGTAATTTTCAGTTCTATACCCATAGACCTACCCATAGAGCAAGAGACTCTAGAATCTTGACCTTCACCAAGGCCTGACAATAGAAGCTCTTCTTGTTTCTGATAATCTTTACAGTGACATGTTTGCCAGTCTTATGTATATGATCAAGACATTTAACACTTGACCAAAAGATTGCCTTTACTGAGACTATCTACTATTTCATATCTGTAATACAAATGATCTCCCATAACTATAACCACCAAATAGTCCCCCCACTCATCATCAAAGCCAAAGTTACAGCCAGTCAGCTCTGTGCCTGCAGGTTTCTTGATTGCGTTGGGAGCAGTGAAATATACGTTTGGATATTCGACTATTTCTATATGCTTGTATTGGACCGAATGTCTTTAATGCTGTCTGCGGTTGTACCTTTTTGCATGAAATTCTTTGTCCCTCTTCTCCCGCAGCTTGGGCTTTGCATCTGAACACAAATTCTGTCCGCCTTTTGTACAGATGAGCTGCTCAACTGCATTCAAATTTCTCCGAGGTTTGATGACCGTGTGGCTATTCCGGTTGGAGCTGGTATTTTAGACAAAAAACTTGTAGTAACCGCGCGGATGTAATGTAGACGGTATTTTCAAGCGAGTTTCGGATTGATTGGGAGTGTTTTGATGTTGGAGAATTCGGTCGAGTGGAGGCACGATAGGTGGATTGAATGGAGAAAATAGTCTAATTTCGGGTGCGCGGTTTTACCGGGCATCGTCTAGTAGGCATGATACAAAAAAAAAGTCATGAGTGGATGCGAAAGGGAAGTTGTGAATCTAATGTCTTTTCTAGCCGATCGGCATTAGCTTATTAAAAAACTCCGATTTATAATATCATCGCATATCTATATTTTGTATAATGCTCAGTATTACAATTACAGATATACCGATTTACCTGTCCTCTTGGTCGCCTCCTATGTCCACCAGCAATGGCAGCTTTTTCTTGTCTAGAAAGCGATAGTCCTCCACTACTCTTTACATCAATTTCTTTTCAATTCCGGATTTTTTGAGCCCGGTCGGTAATGGGAGAACAGGAGGAATATCCTCTCATTAACTCTACCCACTCGGCGTCTTTCGCGATCTTGGCTGCGGAAGCATGCTTGGAGGGGGGGGGGGGGACAACTGGTATGGGTGGTGACTGAGTCGGTATTTGTAATGGTGGTGGATGGGATAATAATAACTGATGATCGATGCTGTGCTTGCGGGAAGTGGGTTTGGCGGTGCAGCGTCGACTGATTGACGTTGGTGCTGAACCGACTATAAATTCGTTCCCTTCTTAGTGGGAAATAGTACGCTTGTACTATGCTGCGTGCTGAAAGCGGAAGCTGTAATTCGGTGAGTGCGTTATTATCGGCTGGTTTAATTGGCATCGTTTTACTTCTTATTGGAGCCGGTATTGCTGGTGATGATGTTTGATTTTTTCTACTATCACCATCAAAGTAAACATCTGATCCATCGGTTAAACTCTTCTTCAGACGAAGTTTGGATGTTTTTGGTGGAATAGATGTATCTATGGTCATTCTCTTCTTTTCCTTCTTTACAGAATCTTTTTGCTGTTGCAATTTCTCTTCTGATCGAGTGGATTTGAGCAGGATTTTTTGTGCCTTTATGTCCAAAGTCAATGCAAGTCCTATTCCCGATACATCGGGTACTTAAGTCGCTGCCATTATAATCATATTCCCAAACTAAGTCTTCCCCAAAGACTTTGTATGCAACTCATATAAAAGACAATCATTCCTAGGATTAAGAAATATTAATGAGTAAATGTATCATCATGGTTAAGAACCAATGAAGAACGTTCACAGCATAAGCTGTGGCCTCGATGCGCTTTCAATTCAATGGTCAATGTATCCTATTCACCACGCCCGTGAACCTCACCGCCGGCTTTGTCGACAACGGAGAAGAACGTTCACAACCAGCAAATTATCATATCAAAGTGTCTTAATGTATCCTATTCACCACACCCGTGAACCTCACTGGCGGCTTCGTCGGATACGGGAATCGATATGTATATACACCCCACTGTGCTCACCGAAACCCGAATTTACACCCAGTGGCAGCGTAACTTCAGATACTACACTAGATTATGATAATTCACGGATTGTGGCCTCGATGCGCTTTCAACTCCGATATTTTACGTCCAAGTGGCAGCGTACTAGAGATACAATAACCATTTAACAAGATACTCAGTGAAAACTCACCACTCATAACAATAACCCGCTTCAACCAGAATTTTATATATCCTTCTTTCAAATCCGAGTCCTTTTTGGTTTGGGCTTGACATCTGACTTAAAATAAACCAAGTTAATACAGAATATACCCGATATTAGCAAGTTATATCGTGTACATAATAAAATGGTTATACCTTTGATTTTAGCGAAAAATATCCAAATGAGTTAAAGAGAGAATAATAATAAGAAGTTAGATAGATTGATGCAGATTTTAAGGCATTTTATTGGTAGTCATGTGTGATGCTTTGCAAAAAATTTTTTTATCACAGTAACACACATCCATTACCCTACAATAAATCATTTTACTAGTAAACCATATGAAAAGTCTTTTTCTTCAAAAATTTCTCCTGTCCATATGTACTATGTGAATGCAATAGTTTTTGTATGGTTTTGAAGCTAATTAATTGTGCTTTTCGAAAAAAGTTAACAATAAATTATATATATCATTGTTATAAAGCTATAGCTCTGTAAAGTGGCAGTCTTTAAATTATGGTATAAAAATATATGATTATACTGTATGTGGAGTACATATACTCTTACTCTTACTTCCTTGATTCTACAACTTTATAACAAGAATATATATAATTTACTGTCAATTTTTTTTTCAAGCACGATTAATTAGCTTCAAACCATACAAAAACTATTGTCATTCACATAGTACACATGGGCAGGAGAGATTTTTGAAAAAAAAAACAACTTTTCATATGTTTTACTAGTAAAAAAAAAAAGAAATCCAGTGATTTATTGTAGGGTAGTGTAGTAATTATGCTCTTTATTTTTTATTGTATAATATCAATAGAAGATAAACTATTTGTTTTTTATAACAAAATGCTTCTGACTATTACTATTAATTTATTTTATTTATTAATAGTTCAGAAATCATGCCAAGTGCAACATCCATTCCTTCCCCTTTATGGAGTGACACAAGACCCAGAAACAAAAGAGTACATGATTGTTATGCAATATGCTAACAATGGTAGTCTTTTGTCTTATTTTGTATCAAAATATTAACAAATTGACATGGATGGATAAATTAGTGTGTTTGAGGAATCTTGCAAATTATCTGGATAATATTCATGACGTGGGATTAGTGCATTGTGATCTTCATGGCGTTTTGCATGATAACAAATCACTTATATGCGATTTGGGTCTCTCACGACCAGTGAATTCACACAAGTCAAATTCAACCATTCAAGGCGTTTTACCCTTTATTGCACTGAAAGTCTTCCATACCTGCAAATTTACTCAGAAATCAGATGTTTATTCTTTTGGTATCGTTATGTATTTGATTGCTACTGGTGAACCACCTTTTAGAGATAGGCAGTTCAATAGAGATTTATTATGCGATATTATGGGCGGACTACGACCATCGATGCCTGATTCCGCACCAGAGGAATACAAGAAACTTGCTGAGCAGTATTGTGATGCTGATCCTGATAAGTTAAAGTGTCCAGATGCAGGAAAACTTTATATTGATATTGACAGGCTTATTGGAAAGATGTACAAGGGCAATTCTAATGACAAGACGTGGTATACCATATATCATAATAACATAAAACCTTTATCACGTCTCGAGAAGGAGAATAAATATTCTAGTACACTTTACCTACTAATAATTGAAAAGCGCAACGAAGGGTATGATATATGGCAAGTAAGATTATTATCAATACAATTCAAAATTAATAAACCCAAATGAAAAATCGCGTAATTTTATAAGCAAGTTTTTAAAGCGTCAAGACCACGTGGCCTTATTATCTGGTTTATCAATAACGCTACCGTAACAGTAACAATATAAAGAACTCTTGATAATATCAATGTGTCTCAGACTAGAACGGTAACAGTGCATCAGTTTGACTCTTGCACAAAACGCCTGGTACCAATATTCTAGATGGCAAAGCACAAGTAAAGGAAACTTTAGCTTTCAATTTTCCAATTGACAGCTTTTACCAAGGATACGCTTTTTATGAGCTAGTAAATGAGCTTTCACTATTCATGTTTTAACCACTTGATCGCAATCGTCGACTGCCTAAGATTCTATTTCAAGCTAAAAGTACTTACTAAGTTAGCTGCTGCCAACTCTGTCAGACATAACGTCTCTTTACACGAGACGCCGATGCGTTAGACTATAGGTCCTAACGTTTAGTTTATCCTTTTCACTTTTGCTCTTTCTTTGAAAATTGGCCAGTTGTTGGTTTATTTTTTTTTCATTCTACGCGAACAACTGTCGGACACGTATTCGATGGCATGTAATACACAGTGAACCCGGATATAACGAACCCCGATATAACGAATTTGGCTTATAACGAAGCTTTTTTGCTGCACGGAAAATTTTAATAGTAAAATTGTTTGGATATAACGAAGTTAATTATAAATCCCTCATATTGGATATACCGAAGGGGAACCTCCATACCATCATCGATAAATTGAAGTTGTACAACAATCGATCGTCTTGTACTACAAAAGTTTTCATTGTATAAAGACTATCATCGTTATATGCGTCTTTATTATATATCGATATATAGATCAAGTATTAATAAGTCTTCGCTGAATGAAATTGAGATCGTTAATCTCATTCAACAATTACCGATAGTAATCTAATAAGCGTAGAAAACTATATAAATATCGACAAAGCTATAGACTTGATGATGATGCCACTTTAACGCAACAAATACAGTGACACCTCTATAAGTGCAACCTCCATAAGTGCAAAACCTCCCTAAATGCAAGCTTTTTCTTGGTCCCAAGC